CCAGGCAGAGCCCTCTCTCTCTCTCTCTCTCTCTCTCTCTCTCTCTCTCTCTCCCCCTCCCTCCCTCCCTCCTTCCTCTCTCTCTCAATAAAGATATCAACAGGTGAGGATTTAAAAAGAAAGTATGTTGGCGGTAGCCTGGCCTACTTGCATCTGCACCAGCACTGTCCGCGTGTCCCGCTGCAGCATGGCCACCACCAAGCGCTTTCCCACGCGCGCAAGTGGAGCAGCGGGGAGAGGTGCCATTCCAGGTGCTGGGGGACAGTGCGGAGCAGCCCTACTGGTTCCACACGGAGCAGCCTCACTGGTTCCACACGGAGCACCTCAAGAGCCCGAAGACAGTTCACCTGGAGGCGAGGCTGGTGGAAGCGATCTTCTGCCCGGAGGAGAGCACATTCCACATGTTGAGTGTGTGTCACAGACCCTGCTTTGCATTAATCAGTGGGACCCTGAAGGCGAGGCTGAGATCTTGACATTTGGTCGGCCTTCTGACCAAAAGGATGTGTCCAACATGATCATGAACTTGGCTCACTATCACCGCCAACTCTGGGCACAAGGCCCGTGGAAAAACGCTGCCCAGGAGTCCTGGAAGGTCTCCGCTGCAGTCGGGTAGCTGCGGTCCAGGCCTCCTCCGATGCTGTCCCAAAGGCAGCGACCCAGCAGTCTCCCAACACAGTCTAGGAGGCAGCAACCAAGAGCTCCCCCAATGCTACCCAGAGCTATGAAGGCATTTCGGGGCCCAGAGCGCGAGCCAGACAAGGTTCAAGTGAAAACCCCTCTCTGGAGGCCTATTCTAGGTCCTGCTGCTGCTGCAGAAGCTGGGGAAAGGGTGGTGTGGGTTGTTATTGGTTTCCCCTCGCCTCCCCCATGTTAAATGTTTGCAAACACAAATCTAAAAAGTTCTAACAAAAGAATGAAATTTCCTTAATAAAGAATTGAATTACTAAATAAATGAATGAATAAATCTACTTATATAAAAACAATGGGTGGTGTTCGTCATATACGGAGGAACCTCAACCCAGCAGAAGGAAGTTAGTCCTACAGGGGTTGTCTTGGCAACG